ACCTGAATTTGTAAAATATGGGGGTACAGGCATTCCTCATTTTATTGTACTTCACTTTATTGAGCTTTGCAAATACTGCATTTTTCACAAATTGGTTTGTGGCAACCCTGCGTTAAGCAAGTCTACCAGCACCATTTTTCCAATAGCATGTGGTTACTTTGTATGTCTGTGTCATATTTTGGTAACACTCACATTTCAAACTTTTTCATGATGCTATTGCACACTTAACAGGCTACTGTATAATGTAAACATAACCTTTTTATGTACAGGGAAACCAAAAAATTTATATGACTTGCTTTATTGCAATATTCACTTTATTGTGGTAGTCTGGAACTGAGTCCACAGTATCTCTGAGGTATGCCTGTACTGGAACGATAACTGGACTGGGAAAAATTACAGGTTGATGCCTTGCTAGAAACTTAATCTCCCTCTTAGAAAACAAGGGCAGCATGCACGTTGCATAGCAACCAAATCCCTTGATCGGCAGCTGCCTGCTCAAAGATTGGTGGCACCGTTTCGAATGTGTGTCACTCTCCACAGTTCTGGCAATAGTCCAATCTCTTGCATAAGGTTCCTAAAAAGGCTCACTACTCCTCTTCCATGTCTCTTGTTTCAGGGTTTCAACCCATACTTTTTCTCATTCGGGTTATCATTCTGGTACACCTAAATTTTATAAACTTGGGTCTGTTCTGATTTTGCTGTGACCTTTTGGTTAGCAGATGTGATAGCTGGAGCTGTGTGTCAACTTGGCTGGACCACAATTCTGTGTGGTTTAAGCAATTGTGATGTGGGTTGTTCCAATGACGGGATCAGATGTATATGTTTTGAGCAGCCAATCTGTTGAAAGGGAATTTCCCTAGGGATGTGGCCTGCTTCCAGTATATTTATGGACGTCCTGGGAAAAGAGACACTCTGTGGATCGGGATTCTGTTGTGCTGCCTACAATTGTCCGTGAGTCAACAATCCACCATTCAGCCTGGAGATCTTGGATTCATCATTCGTTGGAGTCAACAGCCGGTATACTGCCTGCCAACCTTGAGATCGTCAGTCCCTGCATCTGCGTAAGTCAGGAAAAGCCTCTAGCTTGACGTTTGATCCAAGAACTTTGGACTTGCCAGCTTCTATAAGTGTGTAAGACATTTTCCTAAGATAAATTTCCCTTTCTCTCTATACATAAGCTTTACTGGTTTTGTTTCTCTAGAGAACCCAGTCTAACACAGCAGGCAAACATCTTAACCACTACACCAGAACTCCTTCATATAAATTACATAAATGCAAATTATATATGTATGCTACTGCATATATAGCATAAGCTCCTTGCACTCTTTAAGGATCCTTGGGACCCTCTTTCCCTTTATCAGTTTATCACTGTGGGGAACAAATAAGCGGTTGTGGAGTATGAGTGTGAAAGTGAGGGAACACGGCTATAACCATATGTTCTATGCTAAGTACGTTAGAAAAAGCCAAACTCACTGCCAATGAGTCGACTCCAACTCATAGTCACGGTATAGGAGAGTGAAACTGCCCAATGGGGTTTCCAAGGCTATAAATCTTTACAGAAACAGACCGCCTCATCTTTTTCCTGCAAAGACGTTGGTGGATTCAAACCACTGTTTTGGTTAGCAGCCAAATATGTTAACCACTATGCCACCAGAGCTCCTTACAAAAACCCAGTTGCCTTCAGTTCTGACTCAAGGAACCCTATGTGTCAGAGTAGAACTGTCCTCCATGGGGTTTCCAATGGCTGACTTTTTGGAAGTAGGCTGCCAGGCCTTTCTTCTGAGGTACCTCTGGGTGGGCTTGACCTCCAATCTTTCTGCTTCAGCAGTTTAGTTTATCCATTAGCAGTGGAGCACGTTGATCTTTTGTGCCACCCAGGGACTCCAAGTACATTATACCTGGGCTAAATTTAGCATTTTGGAAAATAGAAAACATTGTTGTAGCAAATTCCTTTATTATAGTGCAAATAACTTTCAGCAGTGACACTGTAATGTAAGAACACATTTAGCAACATTTTACACCACGCAGTAAATAAGAAAGTGTTTCTTTGAAAATATGTCATAGGAACATTATTTCTACATTAATGCCGAAAAATGTCAAGGCTGTTTCTCTCAAGGCAACAGGGCTCCCTCCCTCTTCTTGGATATAGCTTTAAAAATGAAAATGAAAGAACCTGCCACTTTAACAAATCACCATCCATTCTAAGAGTGAGCTCTTAAGCGTTTGAACTAAAGTAGACAATATTTGAAATGGGGCTTGAAAATTAAAAATAAAATAATTTTAAGACAATACAGGGATAGCTCAGAAAGCAGAAGTCACTTATACTAACTTTAAAACAGATACACACATTCACTCCAATTTTGCTGCAGAAATGGACAGATTGTCTAATGCCTGCCTCCCCCACCCCCCACCCCCAGAGCTTGATTGTTACATACCTTGTGGTTTTGGTCATATTGCAAAGTAGTGCTCTGGTCAAAAATAACTCTTTATATACCCAAATACTTTCCTGTGAAGCCTTAAATTGCACTTTATATCCTGAAATTCCCACCTTAGACCTCACATGCCAATGAGAGGGTGTGAAAATCATTTCCAGTTTATAGCTAACAATTAGTGCTGCTGGGTTAGTCCCCTACAAATTTAGCTATTCCTGAAATCAAACCATCACATCATTTCGATTCATCCCAATTGGTTTATCCAAGGGTTCCTGTCACTTCATAGAGAAATGAAGGGGTTAACACTGTATCTTCCAGCTAAGCTGCCTAAGGGCTTGCCTGCTAATGAGTTAGCTAATAGGCAGAAAGAAAGGAGTGTCAATTCCAATCAGTTACACTCCCAGCTCCTCTAGTTTCCTCTGAATTATGCAGTGGGTTGGCCACTCTTAAAGGAGGCCTCCCGTGGGGGTCATCTACCATAAGCAGAATCAAAACCCCTACAACTATATTCTCAGGGTGCCCTCTAAGTCTCCATACAAACACTTCTCAAAATTTAGCACCTTTTCAATCCCATGAGAAATTAATCACATCTTGAAAATACCTGGAGCCCCAGAACAGCCCTCTTGGCCGAATATGGCTGATTAAGTCAGCTAGTACATAAAAGCTCTTCAATGTACAGGGGCCTTGTCGGATGAAGTTGTTTCTTATATAATACAATGAAACTGTGTGCAAAACAGTTTCAAAGCTGGGAAGAATCCAAACATATCACCTACAAAAAAATTCACAATTTTAGTTTCCTTTGTTTTTCTTAGACTTTGGTACTGAAACACTGTCTACATTCTGACACGTGAAAATGACGTGGCCACTTCAGTGCCTCTCTGCATGTTGTGTAAAAAAACTCAAAAAGCAAAGCAGGACAAGAACATGTCATAGCAAGACGCAGTATGCTGTACAAACAAAACCTAAATTATATATAAATACACCCCCACCCCAATACCCCTTTCTTCCCCCACTACCTGACCAAAGCAATGCCGAGGGTCCTTTTCTCCAGGGCCCTTTTCTCCAGGGCCGACGCAGTTGATGAAATCCAACACCCAGGACTCTCAGCGTCCCCTGCCCTGCAGTGATACAGTTCTGCAGGCTCTCAATGGAGATGGACGCTCTACTGTTTGACCAGTCCTACAAGCAGGAAAATTCCTACAGCTTAATTTGAAGCATCCACATTACTGGCTGCACTCAAAGACCTGGAGTCCTAGGCATTCACCTTTCAGATAAACTAACTGGATCATTCCCTAATCTGGATCTGATCTTATCCTAACATTTCAACAGAGTCAACACAGCAGGAAGAGACTCTACTCTGAAGCTCCAAAGGCATCACTTAGGGATATTGGTGAGGGCCATGTAAGAAAAGTTATACAATGAGCTAACAGCTTAAGTTGATATAAATTATTACCAAGTAAGTTATCTGGGCCACTTGCTTCTGCTTTACATTGCATTCCAGAATCATTTTCATATTCTATGTTTAAGTTTATAGATACTACTCATTTAAAAAATTGTCTATGCAATCACCTCTTAAGTGTTTTCACTGAATGTAATAACAACTTAATGGACTATTATGTAAATCTAGGGAAAAGTAGTTAATTAACTTTAAGGAAGCCAATACTGTGCTAATTCATAGTATAGAGAAAAAGCAATGTAGATAGAATTTTATGTAATGGTCAATAATTTGAAAAGCAGTTTTATATAAATGTTGCAAAGTTTTCCCAAAAGGACTTATAGCAATTTATATCAAGAAATCCTAAGTTTAGGGGTATGGAGGATAAGACTCAATTTGTTAAGTTAGAAATTCATTTGTTTCATAATTGTCATACATAATTCTCCCCCATGGACCTAAGATATTTGCACATTCAAAAGATCATAACTTGCTGTTCTTGATGTTCAGAGACATTGCTCATTCTCTGTTAACATACATCGAGTATAAATAAATAACTACAAGGAAGCTTTAAAAATCTGAATTAACATTATGCTGTGCAAAAAAAAAAAAAAAAACAAACACAAAAATCACCAACAAAAAAACCTTGAACAACCTACATTCTATGTAAATACCCTGACTAAAATGTTGGTTGTGCTACACGATTCCACTTCAGTGCAGAAATGAGTCGATTTCGGTGTACCGTTTTTGTTTTTAAGTCTTTAGCACTTTTGTTTTTAAACATCATCTTGCTTTGAAAAGATGAATAAAATGCTACCAAATCACAAATCCATTTTAGTTTAGTCTGCATAAAATCCAGCATGAATGTGGGTTTTGTTGTTGTTCTTGGAATAGTGGCTCGGTGTCTTTGTCCCAACAGCCTTCTTCCTAAAGGCAGACCACGGTTGACACTGTCATTTTGGGTTTAAACTGCACAGAAAGAAGAGACAGTGAAGCTTGCTTTTTGTTTTTGTTGTCTTTTTAAGTCTCTAGATCTTGTTAAGACAGTTCTTCCAGACCAACAGTCAGATGGTTGTGGCACCTGATCCTATTTGAAAGTTTTTTTTCTATTTGAAAGAGAAGTGGTTTAAACAACATCAACCAAGCTTAGTGATCTGGAGGTCCCCATTGATCTTTATGGTGTCGATCGCAGATAATGTTTGAATGCGGTGGTAAAAATCAAAAAGTTGGTGTCCATCCACAAACACTCTAAACCGTGGGTGCTCACAAAGAATTTCCACCTGTAAGAAACAAAATAACAATCTCAGTTCACAATTTCAATGCACTGTGCTAAAAAAATAAAAACACAATTCTTTTTAAAGGGAGAGACGCAGCATCTTCACCAATGGTTTGTGAATATTAGGGTGCTCTGGAATCACATGGAAAGCAACTCTAGGGTCATAGTGGGTAAAACATTTAGCTGCTAATCAGAAAGTCAGCAGTTCAAACCACCAGCCACTCCACAAGAGGAAGATGAGGCAATATACTTCCGTTAACGATTTACAGCCTTGGCAACCCAATGGGGGTCACTATGTGTCAGAATCAACCTGCTGGCAGTGGATTTGGTTTGGTTTGGAATCACTTAGAGGCTTCTTATAGCCTCCTATGCCCCACCATCAAAATCTCCAATTCAGTAGATCTAGGAAGCCCTGGTGGCAAAGTAGTTAAGTGCTCAGTGGTTTGAAAGATTGAGGGTTCAAACCCACTGCTGTTCACGGGAGAAAGATGTGGCAGTCTGCTTCTATAAAGATTATCAAAACTAAACCCACTGCCACTGAGTCAATTAAGACTCATAGGGACTCTATAGGATAGAGCAGAACTGCCTCTTACGGTTTCCAAGGCTGTAATTTTTAATGGAGGCAGAGAAGCCCCTCCTGAGGCAGAGCTGGACCCATTCCTGACACATAATAATAGTTTGGGCACCCAACCATGGTAAACACTAAAGCAGAGGGGTTACCCAGTAATTACTATGGGTCCAAAGAGGTGTCATTAACAAGGTTTTGTTAAGCCAAACAGAAATACTGATTTCATATGGTAAAAGCTTTTTCCTTTCCTTTTCCTTAACTTAAGTAATTCACTACAAAGTTTAATGATTAGTTCTGTGGTATATATTTATTAAAAGCATTGATATTCATCATGTCATGTAAGAAGAGACTCCATGTGTGAGATTAGTCACATTTAATTCATATTATTACTAAAATTATATTGCCAAGAAGGCCTATTCCACTTCAATTTTGTTGTTGGGAAGCATTTACATTCATCTTGGCAGTCTGAAACTCTGGTTACTCACACTTATGAACTATGCATTAAAATTCATCATTAAGAAACTGTCACAGCCAAGAGGACTCTAAGGGGACATTACCATCCCAGAGAAGGAGGGCTAATGGGTCTGAGGTGCCATCCCCAGACTGTGATTAGAAAGGCAACAATCCCAGCTCTGTCACTGATGCGATTATGTAATCCTGGGCAAGTCATGGATTCCTTGGCACCCCCTTCCCCACCTGTACAATGGGAAGAGAAATAATTATTTCTTCATAAAGTCCTCGTAAACTTTTAGATGAAGAGCAACAGGTTAAGTGTAATACTGCTTTATTAGGCTTATATGTAGCACAGAACTTTTAACTGAGTTGTCGTTATTGTGACGGATGTTAATAAGATGTAATGAACAACTTCATCACTAGTGCCAACATTCAGTAAATTCTTTCTGAACACATTACTAACTCCCATCTTTTCTGGCATTGTCCCTCACAGAGGAAGGTGCTGCTAATGATGCTTGGTTGGAGGGGAAGTTTGAGTTGTGCTTCTTGCTCCACTAGATAGTGAGGAGCAAATCTAAATTCATCCAGGCCCAAGGGAAGGAAGTTGTCAGCTGTACAGTCTGTGACTATGAAATCAACTTGAGGCTACTTAACCCAGAAGGGGAACACCATATGGCCCTGGTCTCATAAGCAAAGGGAATAAAGAAAATGAAATGAGAATCACTCTGTTCTTTAAGTCACAACCAATAAAGTTTATGCTACTTAAAGGCTAAAATAACTCTGGATAATGATTCATATTTATCAATCAATTAGATATTTTGGGCCAAGTATCTACTACGTAAGTCCCTGGGTGGTACAAACAGTTTGCAATCAAGTATTAACCTAAATGGTGGTGGTCTTAATCTGCTTACCAGTGCTGTGGAAGTAAGGCTTGGCAATCTGCTTCCACAAAGATGACAGCCAAGAAAACCCTATGTCACAGTTCTATTCTTTAACATCTGGGGTCTCCATGAGTTAGAATCTACTTGATGGCAATGGTTTTGGTTTTTCAGTTTTATCTACTATATGCCTAGTACTGTGTTGGGTTCATAGAATAAATAGAAAACTACTTTACTCTTAACAACCTGGACGTGTAAATATGGGCCCATTTACTAAATATATTGGATAAATAGAGCCAAGAACTATAGTTTATACCAGAAAACAGAACCCTTATAATCTTCTATTTTCATTTTCTACCACTGTGTGACAAATTCCTGGACATGCAGAAATTTTGGCTGCTTAAAGCGTTCTTGGCACACATTACCTAAGTAGAACATCATCATCCTGCCACAGTTTGGAGCTGAAGCACTTGAGGTACTCACTCTGAATGGCTGGTCTGGGATGAATGGAAAGTAAGGGATTGCTGATTGTTCTTCACCCCTTTCCCCAGATATACAAGAATTTCTAAGTAGCTGCCGATCTGTGAACACAGCTTTGAGTTCAATTGCCACATCGGCAGGAGGATCTTCTGAGTCACCACAGGTCAAGCTGATTGCAAAGCTGGAAAGAAAACAGTCTCATTTACTCAAGGTTGGATGTAACGACATTTTAAAAGTCTCAGTCTGTCCTATTTGTCTTCTCCTCTAGGTTTTTCTGCTTTTAACAGAAACCTCCTTTACTGGAGGTTAGGCTAAGGAGAAAATTACACTCAACTCACATTATTTTGTTATCTAAAGGAAGATCCGGTGAAAACCCTGGTGGAGTTGAACATGACTAAAATTAGGGATTGCAAATACTTAAAACCACCCACACATCTGTGTCTTAACCCATTCCTGAATTTTTAAAATCAGCTCCAGATATTAACCAGGGGAATAGTATCTAGGGTAAAGTTTAGTTCCAAACAGGTAAATATGTTAATTACATTGGTAGTTTTAGCAACAAGTACAATGTTTAAAAACCCATTAAAAAAAAAATCCTTTGGCCTCCCTAAGGGTCAAAGAGAAAATGTGGGCCTGTATTTATAATCTCTGATATAAATAGCTGTCTGGAGAAATGATGGCTGGGATTCATACACATTCTTTTCATGGGAACATGGTACTTTCTTGGCACTTCCAACAAGCAACAGTGTCCACAAGGAGAGGAAGAGGAGGAGCACTAAACCACAACTGGGAGTGGGCAGGACTGGCAACTGCCTGATAGCTCTGCCCTGACAACGACTCTGCCTTACCTCTCTGGGTTGAGGTCTACGATGCCCATCACTAGCACCTTCTTGCCTGGTCTCATACCACCTTTAATATGCCCACAAAATGGAACTATCTGCATAGGACGAGAGGAAAAACAGGAAGTTAAGAGTCTGCTAGGAAGAGCCAAGTCCTCAAAGCCTGAGGGCCCGACCCGTTGGAAAAGGCAAAGAAAATAGAAGGTAGAGGCAGAGACAACGCTGAACAAAATCATTTACCAGTCGTGGGAAGTACACGTCCGCTTGAACTGGAGAGCCCAAGGAGTTGTTTAAATGCCCATCGTCTAGTTTCTAAAAATAGAAGCACAAAGATTCGCCGTCTATAGGCTTTCTTTTGGGGGTGGGGAAAAACCCATACATCTATAGACATTCAGCAGCCCTCCACAAACGCACAGGCACTATTTGCAAATGCTGTCTCCTCATAGTTAATTAAATAGCCCCATAACCTCCCCTCCAGAACAAAAGCTGTCCTTCTCCCTTAAGTCTGTAAGTCTATATAAGGCCCCAAGACTCTCCAGATATAGACAAATATCAAGGTCGAGGCCTTGCTGGAAACAAGAATCCCATGCCCAAGGAGGGCAGGCCCTTTTCCACGCGCAAACGCTTCTGGAATCGCGGTAGCCAGGGCCTGTTCTCCAGGACGTGGCTAGAGTGCAGCAGCGTCGCTTAACTTCTCTCGGGAGCTTCCAGCTAAGACCCATTTCCAAGGGGGAATCCCCAGGACGTCGGGGGCGGAAGCGGGTCGCGCGCCCCGGACACACAGACGCGCACACTCACACGTGCAGCGCGCACACACCTGGCCCGCGGCTGCAGAGCACGGAGGGGCTGTCGGTCACCCTCTTCTCCGCTGTCGGCCCCCAAACACCCCACCACCCGGCCCAGCGGTGTCCAGGGCCC